CTACTGACAGTCCAATGGACTGGACTGGACTGGAACACGTGTTCCAGTGGACTGGACTAACCCAAGTGACAACCCTGGATTTGAAGCATTTGTACTAGCCAATCAAATTTTGAAAAAATTAGCCAATCGGAATGAAAGCGAATTGCTAAGATCCAATATGCAGATATCGATATAAAATTTTTATCAATTTTTTGATTGTGCAAGAAGAATATGGCTTCTCCTCGTGACCAACTGCTTATAACATTATCTGAAGCGGCTTCGCAACGACCTGAACAAATAAAGGCTGCTGAGGAGCGACTTAAGCAATGGGAGATTGAGCCAGAGTTCTACTCCACTCTGTTGGTGAGTCTCGAGGAAATTTAATTGAGACATTTTATTTTTATTTTTTATACATTGAGACTCGAAAAAACTAGGTATAAATACTCTTGTTAATTTGTTTCTTATTAGTAATATAGATTTATCGGTATTTTCTCGTTAATCCTTTTTATTAATATCAAAAAATGGTGCAAAATTTTTACGAAAGATAATTTCACAATAATATTTATTTGCTTATGTATTACATAGATATAATGAATTAATAAACATACTATCTTTGAAATTTGAAAATAAAACTGTTCGAAAATATCATTTAATTAATATACGTATTCGTCAAAAATGACAAAAAACTTTTTATTTTATTGATTGGCAATGTTTTTTTTCTTTACAATTATTAGGATATTATCTTTGACAGATCAATTGATGTTAATATCAGGTTTCTTGGAGCAATATTTTTCAAGAATGGTGTGGATCGATATTGGCGTAAAACTTCAAAACAGTAAATTTCATGTCAATACATAATATATATTCATATATTCACAATATAAAAATATTTGAGGCCTAAAAAAGTGTGATTTTGCTACTATAGTGCCATCAATCCTGATGAAAAGATCAAAATAAGGAATCGGCTTTTATCTTTTATAGATGAAGCGCATAATCAGGTTAGTAATAGCCATAATGCAATCATAATAAATGATTAAAAAAGCCATAATGGAACATTCTGAAGTTGTTTTACAAATACATTGATAACTTAGTTGGCAACGCAATGTGCTGTAATAGTTTCAAAAATTGCTCGGTTTGATTATCCGAATGAATGGTATGTATTTATCATTATTAACTTGTTGTTATAATTCGATATTAAGGCTTTTATACATTTAGGCCAGAGTTGCTTCAAAATTTATTATCAATTATCCATTCGACAATAACCACCATTTCAGATTCTCGGACAATCTTAATACAAAAAAGGGCGTTACTTACTTTGCATTTAGCTGTCAAGGCTTTGTGCTCAAAGACAATGGGGCCAGATCGAAGAATGTTGCAAGAGGTTTTTGTTATAACATTGCTTCTATATGTGGTAATTATCCTAAATCTTATATGTAATGACTTCGTTTCATAAAAACAAAGATTGCACCAGAATTGCTTCGCAATGTTGCTGGGATTTACGTAGAACATACCAATCGTTTTTTCACTTTGGTTTCTTCTTCAAACGATATCGGTGTTATTATTGATCTGGAAACTTCTTTGTCGGCTTTGAAATGTATACGACGTTTGGTGATTTATGGATTTAAAGATATTAGCAAACTTGATGAAACGAAGGTAAAAAAAAACCAAGTATAAAGATTGCTTTTGTTTTATTCTTATGGGAGATTTCATTTTCTTACAACTTTTACTGATTATAATATGAAGGCATTTTTCCTTTTAGTATTGGAACATTTACAGAAATTCCATGCTTTGAGTACTTTTTTTTTTTTTTTTTTGTAATGTGATTGAATTTTTAGCTTAATACAAAAACTAAAACATCCTCACATCATAAATATGTTTATAGGGAACGCGTTTCAAGATTCTGCGTCTCCAAGTTTAGAACTTATTGATGCGCATATCACTCTGATGGGAAAATTTTATATCGAACTATTAAAAACACATCCTATTGCTTTCATAATGACGCCAGGGTCTGTGGATGTTATTCAATACTACTGGAAATTACTGGTAACTTACGGAAAATCCAACGAAGGTGTGACAAATTTCACGGGGACTTTTTCTTAAATGTAATAATTCTGATAATTGATATTCATATTTAATGCAGATCTGTCCAAGTCACCTGTCATAGAAAAGTATTTAATACAAGCATTATTGCTCTTAAAATGCATAATCAGGAAATCATCATATAACCATGGTCTTAGAGGTATACTATAGTATTATGCATTTTATAGATAATACCTATACAATTAGGCTCATTTATATTAATTTCGTCATATACATTTAACTTTTAAAGAGTCCAAAGATCTGCAAGTAACTGAAGCAATGAGGATCGTGGATGAGCAAATATTAACGTCCAATTTTGTTGAGTCATGTGCTGAATTATTGATCTCGAATTTGATTATTTTAAGAAAGGATGATTTAATAATGTGGGAGGAGGATCCAGAAGGGTGGATTAATTACGATGAATCCGATCATTGGGAGCATCAATTGAGGGTGTGCTGACAGATTAGATATTTATAATTGTCATTATTAATGCTTTCGCTATTGTTTAACCCTTATTGCTTATTTTCTATATTAAGCCCTGTGCTGAGAAAGTTTTTATGGACTTATTATCACAGTATCGGGATACATTGTCGCCAAAAATTGTTAAATTGATTGAGAACGTCGCAAGTAAGCAATTATACCATATTTTATATTAAGTAAACATGATGATAACAATATATTCACGACGGTCTTATTAGACTATCAATGTCAAGGATTAAATTGTAGCATATCTGACTTTGTTTTATATAAAAAGTTAACATTAGAACATATAATATTTTACTGATTTTTATTTCCGAAATACTCGCAGGTCGTAAGTGTTGTTGTTCTTAAGGATATCGGTCCGATGTATCAAAGGGATACTGATTATGTTTCATAACCATGATGGTCTTATTCTATATTGTACTAAATAAACACAATATTGGCATTGATATTAAGGTAGGTGACACGGGCCTCTGGCATGCCTTTGGACAGGAAAATAATTTTGCATATAATTGGTTGATATAATTCTAACTTTTTAGTTATTGTATTATGTTGTTATGTACTATCTATATATTAGGAGCATGCCTATTGCACCTTAAGGCATAATAAGAGAGGGATGCCTCAGTTGGCACGCTCTAAAATTTTACCGTGTCACCTAACTTAGTTGACATGTAGAAATTATTTTTGTTGTAACAAGAGAAAAAAAGGAATTGTTGACAATTTTTATAACTACTTTATTTTATAGAATCTCAAACATGTGATCTGATGCTCAAAGACGCAGTATACTGTGCAGTAGGCCTTGGAGCTCACGAATTATACGATGAACTTGATTTCGATTCATGGCTCGTGAACAATCTTTTAATTGAAGTTGCAAATAATAATCCAAAGTACATATATTTGTAATTTCCTTTGTTAAATAAAAGCTCATATCTGACACATCATTTTATTCAGCTTTAAAATTATTCGTCGCCGCATCGCATGGGTGATTGGAAGATGGGTATGCGTCAAAGTGTCAAAAGAAAATCGGCCAAAAATATACGATGCAATGACATATTTAATAAACCCTGAAGAAGATTTGATCGTTAAGATGACAGCCGCAATTAATTTGGGAAACTATATCCTTTTTTTTCTTATATTTCTTCTCCTTATTTGTGTACATTAATTCTTAATTTAAGTACGTGTGGATGAATGGGATTTTGATTCCGAAGGATTTGTACCATACCTTGATCGAGCGATTACATTGTTAACGCGATTGATCGGAGAAGTGGAACAATTTGAAAGTCGAATGAGAATTTTGAATTGTTTATCTCTTGTAGTAGAAAGGATGGAAGAGCTTGTAATGATATTTATCAAAAAAATTTGTTATTTTAAGGTTAGCCATATTGTTTTAATGTTGTTAATAATATTTAGATTGCTCCTTTTGCGGAAAAGATAACAAACTTATTGCCACCTTTGTGGCAAGCTGCTCATGATGAACATTTGTTTAAACCGGCTATTCTTTTGATATTGACCAAACTTGTCCAGGTTGGTTTACATAAATTTACAAAATTTACAAGTTCTCATATTTGTGCTAACATATGTGTATATTTATGTAGGCTTTGAGAGTAGAGTCTGTTAATCTCCATGAATTCATAATACCGATAATTCAATATAGCGTAGATCCAAGCACTGTGAGTGCAATATTAATTACACGTTAAAATTGATAAAATAATATTTAGGACGAGTCAATAAAAACAAGGAAAATTTTTATAGTAAAACTTCAAACTTTGAGATAACAAGAACTTAGCAAATTTTTTAAAAAAATTTCTTAAATAAATTCTACCAATTCAGAATTAATTTAGAAAGAATGGTTATTAAATTTAATTAAGTTTTTGTTGAATTGTTTGGTTCGAGTTTTAAAAAAACCTTTATTAAAAAAACTTACATGTTTTCTATTGACTCACCTAAATTTTTTTTCATAATAATTTCATAATAAATTTATGCAAGATTTTTATTTTTATATCTAGGACGAATATGTTTACCTTTTGGAAGAAGCATTGGATCTTTGGTTGGCAGTACTTGAAAATTCCATGGAATGTACGCCACTCATGTTTAGTCTTGTCCCTGCAGTTATAGGATTAATGGAATACGGAACTGAAAATTTCAAAAAAGTTCTAAGAATACTTGAAAGTTACATAGTATTAGTACCAGAGATGATTACTCAAGTTAGTAATCTTTAAACAGTTCATTTCAAAAACTCATTTATACTAATTATTTTATTATGTACGGCAGTCATATTGCCATCCAATTATGGATGTTTTCACTCGGTTGTTGGGAGATTTGAATTCTGAAGCTTGTCGCGCGATAATCCAAGTTATCGATATCATATTGCAAACATGTCCTTTTCAAGCATTAAGTGAAAATATGATCAATACAGGTCTTTTATGGAAACTGCTCAATTCTATCTTGTCCGGCAGTGAGGTGTATATTCATTTAATTTTCTTAGTAATGTTATATATTTTATTTTATTTTATTTTATTAAATAGTTGTTTAATGATTGTAATAGGAATACCCATATGTCATTGTTAGCTATATTTCAATACTAGCTAGAATAGTTATTATTGAGCCGCAATTTTTCATACAGTACGTAACGATTGCTAATCAACAATACAATTTGTCACAAATTAATTTGATTGAGAAGGTGTTGGAAGTGTGGTTAGATAAGGTAAACAAAAGATCAATGGTTGAATTTATCAAAAAATTTATTAATCGCATTTTTACTTTCAAAATGTGATTCAACACAGTTTGACAATATAGGGCATCCAAAACAAAGGAAATTGAATGCCATGGCATTTGCGACAATAATCACCACGACAAATCCAATAATCTTGGGATATTTACAACAATTTATTGGCATTTGGTGTGATGTGCTTAGTGAAGTTAGAGAGTCCGGCGGTGGAGAGTAAGTATTATTTTTTTTGTAATAAGTTGATGCAAAATATTAAGTATATAATTGTAAATAATCCATTAAACTTTTTTTAAAGTACTTTAGTTTATTGGCGAGAAGAATATTCGATAGAAAGTGATGAACGTGATGACACGCCAGAAACCAAAAGAAAACGTGCAGTAAGCTATTTCTCTTTTTTGAAAAGATTAAATTTAAGAATTTAATGATGATTGTATTCTTTGATTGTATTTAATTTGGTTTAAAATTTTATTTAAGCTTTTGCAGAGAGATCCAATTCATACAACGAATCTTATTCAATACATTCGTACTAAGATAGCGGAATGTGAAGCAATTAATGGCGGGTCACAATTATTTAATCAAAATTATATTAGAACTGTGGATAACACGTTATTGGATCAATTAAATGGTCTGATGAACTCTAATTAAATGATTGATCAAGCATACTAAACTTGTAATCCATTTATAAACGACGGCTTTGTATATTTTTAATATTGGAGTTTGCATGTCAAATTAGTTCTGGTTTTATAAATTTTTTGATAGGATAATGATATAATTTTTTTAGCATAAAAACAATCGTTTGGCCATCTGTGCTACATCAACGATATTTTGTGATGTATAGTTTTATTTGCCAATCTGGTTTTCTGGAAATTTAATAAATTTTTTGAGAACGTTCAAAACAAGGTGTATTTACGTGGTGTTTTAGGGATTGGTATTCCTGTTGGGGTTACTATAATGCTAGCCATGCTGTGTTGATAATATTAATACTTGTTTATAGTTGTGTTTTCGTTTCTTAGCAGTCACATACCATGTGACTTTAAAAATACTTGCATACACATGTCAAATTTAAATATGCGCATGGTTCTTGTATTCGATTGTCAGATAATTCGTTACTATGATGAGAGCTACTTAAAAGGGTTTCTTACTCTCAATAACAATTGTAGAAAATGATGAGATTCTCGAATTTATTGTTATTTGTCACTTATTAGTGATTTGGTTTTATTTCATTATTCTATCGTCGAAACTAAAAGTACTTTTCTACACTAAATTAACAATATAAAACATGTCTAGTTCATCTGTCCCATCAACTGAAAATTTCGCTTCTTTATATGACTTTTTAAAAACTGCTTCTTCAGATAAAATTACTATTTCCAATATAATTACACAGCAGTAGAATTGCTTCAAAGTTCAAACAGAAGATATTGAATACTTCACAAAAATTCTAAAAGAAACGGTCAGTCAAATTAATAATGAAGAGCATAAGCAACATCTTTAAAAATTATTGCAAAAAAAAAATATTGATTAGGTGTTTTTTTATCACTTTGATATTTGTATATTAAGAATAAGATGAATATAATTAATAAGTATAATGAGATTGATAAAGCAACATATTGTTAGAATTTCTTTTATTATGCTTATTATGATGATTTTTTAGATGGTTATTTCTGATTAGGATGAGTATTTGCATAAAAAAAAAGTAATATTTTTCTGAATTTTATTAACCTTCTTTATTTTTAGATACTATTTATTAGAAAGAATTAGTATTATTGAAAAAAATATAGAGTTTTTACAAAGAAAATTCTAAGAGGTAAATTGGAAAACTTTGAAACTAAATAGTATATTATTTTTGAAAGATAAAATTAAGACAATAAGTTATTTGATTTTATTTTTTTTCTTATAAAATAATTTTTTATCTAGTATCTAATTTGATCTTTTTTACAAAATTAACTTTTTAATCTGCTAAAAGAAAAAACACTAGTGCATGAATATATATTTACAAAAATAAGTAATATATATGTAGATAAATTATCAAAAAATGACACATTATGCATTATCTTAGTTCAGATAAATAATATTTCAAAAAGTAATTTCAAATCCTTCATTGTATATATAAGCATAGTGAGTTTTATCATGATTGGTTAATTTTTATAGATTATCTCATCATATAAAAGTAACTATTTGTCATTACAAGAATAGAACTGCAATCACAAATACGAAACTACAAGGATTATGACATAAAAATTTAGAAAGTACACTTTTGGTTCTACAATATATCAAAGTAAATTGGTAATTGGCAAAGTAATTTAGAAGTTAGATAAAAGATATATTTGAATGTTTAAATTTGACAAGTAAGCAAAATATAAAATTTGCAATCTATTAAACTTGATAAATAATAGTCTTTTCAAGTTTATATTATTAATCTATTTTATTTATAATTGGTTTATTATTCTAAAGACAAATATGTACTGTTAGTAAAGTAGGATAGTAATACAAAACAGAAAACATAAATTTGTAAATTTTTTAAAAAATCAAAGTATAAGATTATGTTTAAAAGTACAGGTTTCTTTAATTTACATATAAGAATTAAATTTTTAACAACAGATATTAAAGAACAATAAGATAAATTAAAGATCAAGAATATGTTAAAGTTAAAAATTAATACTGCATTAAAAAGTTTATGTTTAAAAAATATATTCTTAAAGAAGTTATCTGTATTTTTGTATTTAAAATTAAAGTTATAATTTGATAATATTAGTTAATTAATATTATAAGATAAATAAGAATATTGTAATAAAGTTAAAACACTTCTAGGGTCGATAGCATAGTGGTTATGCTCTAAGGTCACAAATCGCAAGGTTGCCAGTTCAAATCCTAGTGACAACAATTGTAGAGATGCATTTCTAAAATAGAAAACTGCAACATCATGGCATTAGGAACTTAGGATGTCATCAAACAAACTTATTTCTAGAAAAAACAAGTAACCTGCAATTGAGAAGCCACCCAGTGATGAACATGAGTTAAAACCCAATTTGGAATAACCAAAGTCATAAAATATAATATGAAGTCGAAAGTCTAACAATAAGAGATACTACATGAACTCATGCTAATAGCCAGTTCTTGATAAAGCTAGGTGAAGACTTCTGATACTGGCAGAGATTAGTGTAATGATCATTTCTGTAAAGTTTAAAAGTATGGACTGAAGAAGGTTAAGGTTCAGATCCAGAAGTATATTGAGAAGATTAGTTCAAAAAATACAAGAACTGCTAAAAGATCTTGACAAGACTAGTTAAAAATTAAAAAAAATAATAATAATAATAAAGTTAAAAACACTATTAACAAAAATTTGTATTTATTATATAAATAATTTTTTTTTAAAAAAAATATAAAACATATATATAAAGAAATATATAACTGACGTTGCATAAGACTTCAGTGCAAACTCATGATAAGATCACCAGATATGAAAAACTAAGGAACTAAAGTAACAGAAATTTACTTAGAAATTTCTAAGTAAAAAAATAGTATAAATTTTTGATACTATCATCAGACTAGTTAAAGCCTACAAAACACCTTCATAAGCTTTAAAAGTTAAAACTAAATAACAAATATGTGTAGAGAAGTGTATAACCAACTAGGCTACCAAACTTGTTAGAGAAAAAGGATATAAAAGTATATTATACTAGGCTATCTGAATTGATAGTCTGAAATAAGACTAACAGTTCTAAGTTGCAGCTAGTAAAAGATAATAAAAAAGATGCTAGGAAAATAGGTACTGGGATTCTAGTAAACTTTATAAAGGTAGAAATAGTGTAATATAGCATTAAACAGATAACTCTTGTAATTGCAAATGTTAGATAACTATAGTGTGTTATATAAAACTAGATTAGTATATGTGAGACATAAAGGCTCTAATAAGTTTTCTGTCAAAGATAAAGTAGTTCTAAGAGTATCAACCAGCATCAGAAACTTGGATAAGTATAGTTTTGAAGATGTTCTTATAATACAAAGAGAATTGCATATGCAGAAAGTTTAAATAGACAAAACCTTTAGTTGACTTATAGGCATAACATTTAGTATAGAACTTATATAGTAATATATAAGTGAATTACTTAAATTAGACACCAAAAGTGCATATATGGCTAGTTGTAACCTCTAGTGTAAAGTAGCTCCTGATGCTATACTGTGTCCTATATACTTAAATAAAAAAATTGCATTCTAAAGATAGGGACTTTAATATTAAAAAAAAAATATATATATATAACTTATACTTATTTTAAAATAAATTTTATGTAAACTATTATAGTAGAAATGTAGTGACCTAATGAAATAGTCAGGTTGTCAACCTTTTAAGTGGTAGATAAGATGTTCAAATCTCATCAATAGTAAAAATTTAGATAATTACTTATATAATATTCATATTATAGCAACTGTTATTAATAATTAAATTAGAATATCTATAATAACAGTCATATCAGTATGACTGGCAGATTATAAGGCATTTGTGTAACTTATTACACAAAAAAATGCAAACTAACAAATTAGGCAGTGCAAACACTAGATAAGTCCTTGTGATTGTGCAAATCTGTTAAAATTGAGTAATAAGAAGTCTATTTAAAAAGACTTAAGTAAAAAGATAACCAGATCTTTAATAGTTCTACTGTAAAAGCTAGTCTGAAAAAACAGATACTAAGGTTATAGTATTTAGTCGTAATAGCCAAACAGGCAAGAACCTTTAAGTTGGAAGTTTCAGAGGTACTACCAACCAGTCTGCTAGAACAAATCAGAGAAAAAGAATATATTAGACTACCTAATATATCAATAAACTGATCATAGTTCTATATAAGCTATTTAGATTAGGAGTTTGGTAAAAAGACTAGATAAAAGACAGAGGTATACTAAAGTACTAGAGTTATACTATGAAGTAGATGCTGGGATCTGTGTGAACTCTACAAGAATACAGCAGTTTAATAGTTAAGCCCTGATTGCAAGTGTTAGTTCTGTTATAGCAATACCTAGATTAGCTATAAAAATGGGTACAGAAGGCTCTAAGGAGTTTATTTTAAAGATGAATTAGTCTTAAAGTTAAGACAATAATCTGAGTATCTGAGTATAACCTAGTGAGTTAACACAAGTTACAAATTCAGAAAGTTTAAAGTAAAACATCCAAGCAGAAATGTTAAATATAACAATTAGTAGAGAACTTTTAAGTAGACTTCTTAAATAAGTAATATAAAAAAGTTATATATATAGCCAATTGTATTCTTTACTGTAGTAGTTTATAAAATTACATTACCTATAAGTCATTAATAAAAGTCAAAAAACCAAAAAGGTTATCTTAATATCAAAAAAAAAAAAACTATTATAGTATAATAAACAAATTTAAAACATAATAATCAGTTTGTATATAAGATATTAAATCAATTTTGAAGAGATAAAAATATTGTAATAAAATTAAAAAATTAAATTTGAAAATTTTTTTTATTTAATTTTTTATTTAATTTTTTTTTTAGATCTAATAATAGTAAAAGAATACTTCTAATAATAAAAAATTACTTTTAATGTTTTTTAATCTTTGGGGGTTTTTTTTTGTTTTTTTATTTATTTTTTTTTTTTGCTCTAAATTTTATTGTCAATTAATTTTTTTTTAA